AAGAGTGACAAAAAAAAAAGAGAGAGAGAGAGAGAATATTAGTAGTCACTAAATGTGTTAATCCGCCTTTATTATCCTCTTTCTTTTTTTTTTTTTTTTTTTTTTTTTTTTTTTTGCAAAAACGTTAACTATCGATTCGAAGAATTAGCACGTCGATTAAGGTTCTCGTTATCGTTCTTAGAAAAGTGCCTTGTATTTTTTAAATGGTTCGATACTTCGAAATGGGAATGAGACCAAACGAAAAGAGTGAACGATTAAAGAGCATACTATTCTATTTGATCACGCAAACGAATTTTCTTTCTCTCTTTATCTCTCTATTTCTCTCTATCACTCTATCTCTCTCTCTCTTTCTTTCAGTTCCATCCGTATTGTTGGATACCTATATTTTCAATGACATCGTTCCAACATGGTAACCAATATCACGTTCGCCATGTAATTGCTCGATCTGATGCAAATTCTACGGGAGGAAAATGACATGAATTAAGGACGAATGATAACTGTATCGTTCTATGATGACGATTTTACGAATCACCCGATGCATTTAAAGTCTCAACCTCCTCGTTATCGTATCGTCATCGATGATTCGAATATTCGTTATTTTACGATCGGCGGCTACGGTGATAGTTATGCAAACAGAGTATTCGTGAAAGTTAACTTTAGTCTTCCGTTTAAAACGGAATATTAATTGTTTATATCTATAGTAATTAAAAATACATGCCACGTGTTTAACAATAAATTTATCGTATTCATCGACATTGAACGGGATTATGTTGTATGTTTAATGACATGTCATATGTTTAAACGATAAATTTACGATAGAAAACATTTGCAATAGATTTTGAATGGATTCACGATTATAATTAGAGAAAATATGAAATATTCATTGTGTTTTTTTTTCTCTCTCTTTCTTTCTTTTCTTTCTTTTTTTTTTTTTTTTTTTTTTTTTTTTTTTATCAAATTTATATTGACCTCACTTGATTCAATAATACGAGCCAAATATTATTATAAAGAAAGAAAATCTCATTTTCATTTATTCGTCGATATGACGATTAAAGACGTGTATAAAATCAACGTCCGTAAAATCTATATGTATTAGTCAAAAAGAGAGTTTTTTTTTTTTCTTTTTTTTTTTTTTTGGTAATTCCAGGACAAGTATTCGATCATAATTAATAATATAATAATAATACATTAATGAAAATATCGGATGCATTTATTTGCACAGAAAACGTATCGTTAAAACAAACTGAAACAAGACTGAAACTTAAAATGTATCTTTTATCCTAAAACCTGATCTCTGACGCATCCCTCACCCTCCATTCTCTCTCTCTTTCTCTCTCTCTCTCTCTTTTCTCTCTCTCTCTCTCTCTCTCTCTCTCTCTCTCTCTCTCTCTCTCTCTCTCTCTGGCATGTAAAGTGCCCTTCATTGTGTCTGGATTTTATGATAAAATGTATTGCTCGTAGAAAGTGCACTACGTTAGTTGTACTTACTTAGGTACTTCCCTATCTTTATCTATCTGTATCTCTCTCTCTCTCTTTCTCTCTCTCTCTTTCTTTCTCTTTTTCTCTCTTTATATATATATATATATATATATATATATATATATATATATATATATTCATCTTATTCTACAGCTGCCATGCGAGAAGGATGAAAGAGTATAAGTGTGTCTCGAAGAAGTACCTATCTACCACTTCTTGTTCCAGAGTTAACTATCCTGCCTCTTCTCTCTGAAAATAGCAAATCAATACGTCTAGCCCCTAGCAGTCGCTCCCAGACAGCATCTTTTGTCTACGTCCGTCCTTATTGTTAGAACCCCGTGCACAACGACCCATTGTCGCGTGCATCCTTCCTTAAGATAGACTCTCGTTATTTCGTTCGATCGAAAGTATCTGAGGTATGTTGCTTAAAAAGAAAAAAATGTTGCTTAGAAAGAAAAACAATAAAAAAAAAAAAAAAAAAAAAACAATAAAAAAAACAAAGAAAAAAAGGAGGAAAGAAGAAAAACGTTAGTTTTCGTTGATCGATTCTTCGATGTAACTTCGAACGCACGAATTTCATTAACCAACTGAGAAAAGTTATTTCAATTTAGATCGACCGAGAAACTATCGGAAATATAGCATTACAGGGATAAAAAAAAAAAAAAAAGGAATTCGATGAAATAATTATCTAACGTTGAGAAACTTTTATTACGCTCGCCATTACTACAAAAGTTAATTTTCAATGCTTTGTGATCATATTTCTCTCGGATGTATAGATACGTTCGTACAAACACACATACGCACACACGCACACGCACACATTACTCGGAAATTATTTTCTAATGGTAATATCGAAGCAGACAATTTTTTTCTTTTTCTTTTTTTTTCATCGTACATACATTCACCATGTCGTTTTAACTGTTCGTTTACAGTTATAAAAAAAAAAATTTGATTTTAATTAAAATGTTTTTTTTTTTTTTTTTTTTTTTTTTTTTTTTCTTATAATTATTAATGCGATAGCCAAGATCGGACGGACGTGGTACGATCGCAAATGATTAAATGGTAATTCTCGTGTCTCACAAATGTATCGTAAACGTGTTAACTGATAAAAGAAGAATTGGTAATAAAGATTAAAGTTTTAAATGGGGGGCGGAGAAGGGTGAGGTGGGGATGGGGCTGGGATGGGTAAAGAATGAAGATAAAGACGTTCGTCTCTTTTTTCGAAAGTGATCATTTACTTTGATACTATCGCGTGTCGTTCATGCCAATAACGCGATATCGTTCACCTTTTATATATCATTCTTTCCAAACGAACGAGACTTGAAATCCTCCGAGTTCTATCGATTACGTTAAAAGATATCGTTTCGATCGATTATCTTGAAATTTTATCGTTAAATCGACGTTACTAGAAAGCCGTAAGACGATCATCGATTTTATCGAGACTGAAATTTCATTAACTCTATGCATTAGTACGTAAATATGCCGTATCAATAAAGCGTGATATTTTTATCAATAAACTGTGTGTATGTGTATGCGTGTACGCGTGCGCGCACATTTGTGTGTGTGTGTGATACTTTTAAGAGCAGGTAATCTGCATTTGACAGGGACAATCATCCGAAGCAGTTTCTTATCAAAAAATTCCCCCGATATCGGGCTATCCATCTAGAGCACGTTTCTATGATTCGTCCCAGTTTTTTTGTTCCAGGGAATGTCCCGATAAGAGCCGAATAGTTCACCCTCGACGTCCTCGCGTTCGCCCGAGTATCCCGCGACAGTCGGAGAAAAGAGAATGAGAAATTTTTATCGATTTATATATTCTTTATACGCGGACAATGATCAAAAGAGTAATATGTGAACGATCGAATGGATTTTTCTTCCATTGTAAAAGTTCGACAACATTACTATGAAAAAAATGTTGAGATATAACGTATACATAGAAGGGAGTAAGAACTAAAGGAATCTTTTTATGAATATATAGAAATTTCTTTTTTCTTTATATATATATATATATATTTTTTTTTTTTTTTTTTTTTTTGGATCTACATTGATATTATTCTAACTCGATAACAATCTTCAATATTATTCTATATCGAAAATAATTCCTAATTACAATGCAGTTAATCAAATCGTTATCCTAATGGCTTATCTTAATACAGATATTTCTCAAATTATATTCATTTACTATAACGTTCGCATTCCCGAATGAGATAATCGACAGCTTTAACTTCACGTCAGTCATTGTGGAATATTCTCCGTTAAACGAGATCCAATTCCCAGTGAAATACATTTTGTTTCTTATCACGTATCATTTGGACAGTATCTATCGAGAGAATCTCAATCTTCATATTATGTCTAGAAAAGAAGAAGAAAAAAGGAGAAAAAAGAAAAAAAAGAAAGGAAAGAAAAACGAACGGACAAAGTTCATAAGAATTTGCGTGTTATAACCGCGAGGGAAATAAGTTTTACTTTTAAAAATTATCCTCGTAAATTTCTAAATAACGTAATAATCCCACGAGAACGAAGGGTAAAAATCCTTATAAACGTTTTAATAGCGATAATAACGATAGATCATCTGTTTAGATATAAATCGTAATAATAAATAAGAACGATGAAAAATGATAATGCGAATCGATCGTCGTGATTAATTCTGAATTCTAAATTGGATGTGATTATATTGAAAAGTTTTGCTCGAATGAATTACCATAATAAATATACGGTAACATACAACGAGAGCTTAATAAATAATGTCATTAATAAGAAAAGAAAACATCGATTTGGATGATCACAACAAAATCCGACGAAATAAATTTCTGGGAAGGGAGGAGTCGTAGAAGAAGTGAAAAGTGGTGAAAAAGAAAAAGAAAAAGGGAAGAGAAAAAAGATTTTCTTTTGGAAAGGGGAAAAAATAATAACGTAAAAAAAAAAAAAAAAAAAAAAAAGAAAAAAAGAAAGAAGAAAAAGAAAAAGAGAAAAAGAAAACCAAAGAAAAATGTCAACAGTATCATAAATAAAAAGAGAATGAAAAAGAGGAAGTATAGAAGAAGAAGGAGAACAGAATCCTGGAGAAGACGTCGAAGGACGAACGAGAGAACGTCCGTCGCTTTTTCGCGGGGGACCTTTGCAGTGCGCAAGGGCGTTGGCGCTGATGACGGACGGGTAACTGGAAACGGCAGAGAGAGAGCGAGAGAGAGAGAGAAGAGAGAGAGAGAGAGAGAGAGAAGAGAGAGTGGAGAGAGAACGGGTGAGAGTTATAAAGAGGGGAAAGGAGAAAAAGAGAGGGTGAGTGGAAGTAGGATGTGGCGCGTTGGAGAGCAGAGGGGGGTGCGCGGAAGGCGTCGAAGCTTCGCGCGAGGGTATGAGGAGGATCGACGAGTGAGAGAGGGAGAGAGAGAGAGAGTGAGAGAGAGGAAGGGATGCTTCGTAGAGGATAACGACGAGAGAGGGACGACGACGATGATGGTGGTGGTGGTGGTGGTGGTGGTAGTGGGGTAGTAGTAGTAGTGGGTGGTGGTGGTAGTGGT